TTTCCAATGCCAAAGCTTTTCAATGGACCCAACTCCCGATGTGAACATCCCCACCAGGAAGTTGGAAATGTACAGCATCCTGATCAGGGGTTGATTTTTTTGTTGGGGGGGGGAGGGGAAGAGCTTGTCTGGATCTATTGCAAGCCCTTTAGGACAGGGAATGCCCCTTACTATTTGTCTATACTGCACCAAGCATAATGGGGCTTCAACTTCAACTGGGGCTTCTAGTTGTTACCATGATAGTGCTAGTGTGATCGACATATGCCTAAGAAATATCTAATGAAGAACAGCATTCAGATTCTCCTCCCACAGAAGTTTTATCTTTAAGTTCTGCTGAAGCATGACTGCATCACTGGGCTCTTTTTTGTTGGTCACACACAGTAAAATAAATGCATAACTAGTATCATATTTTCTACTCTTCTGGGAAGGAGGAGGGTAAAGCAAGGAAAAGATGCTGGAGCTAGCTCAGTTATGCTAGTCCGTTATGCTAGGAACTGTATTTGTGTATCAGAGTTGGCTGATGGGCTTTTTTACTGTGTTTACTGCTGTTGGAATCATTTGGACGATTATTTCTTCTTGAATTCGGCATTTAAAAAGCTTTGCAACATACTTCTAGATAAAAATAAGACCAGATTGAATACTGCCTCAGAAACCAAATTCAAGCACATTCCAATCTCATAGAGACCTTAAAGGACACTCATTTTTGCATCTATATTAAGGGGGCCTGTTGCCAGCTCCAGCTAATATTTATTGTATGGTAAAGCTTTGCAGAGGGAGCTGAGTATAGTCTTATAAAGTTTTCTTTCAAGAAACAATGTTTTTTTTATTCAGTTCTATGTGAGTGCCAACATACTAAGAAGTTCCAGTAGTATTATTTTTTCCTTTGCATCCTTTATCCAAGCCAAATCCTCCTCCATCACTTGGCAAAAAAACACATGAATAGCTGCATTCAAAGCTGTTTGTAGCAAACAGACATCTCAGTAGATCCCTGTAAAAACAGGTGCAGAAAATCACAGTATTTTCCTAACGTATTTCCCATATGCATGCCCGTTATCTAAACGGCCCTTGACTTCAGCAGATGTTATGTCCTCGCAACTAGGTCAGTTTGCACTGGAGCGATCCGAGGCTAAAGGCAGAGGAGAGAAAATTAAATTGTATTCCTGCTTCACAGACTGTGGCTGTCAAAGAGATCTCTACTCTTATGCTAAAGCAAGGAATCCACTGCCATTTAAGCAGGGATTTGAGTGGCAGGGAAATAAAACATCTTGGTGATCACCCATCAGATGCACTTTCTGCATTATCTCCACTTAAAATATTCCAAAATAAAATGAAAGTAAGAGTTCAGGGACATAACTATTGCCAAGGCATCTGAATCAGCTTAATTTAAATCACTGTCACAGTACATGGCCAGCATGACTGATCATCCTGCTGCATTCGTTTGAACGATCTTGGCTTCAGCCTTTCATTGCTCGTGCCATTGGCACTTGATTCGCCATGCCCGCAAGTAAAGATAGTAAATCTCGTCACCTGTACTGCAGAAAAAGAAAAAAAAATCCCAGCTTTTCAACTTGCTGCTTAAAATCTTGAGCAACTTGTTGGCAAACCTTCTGCCGCAGAAAAGCCTGCAGCTGATGAGCTGTGCTTTCACCACTGTCACTAGAATTACCAATAAATTCTGTTTTCAGAAAGGACACAGGACAATTGGACTACACAAAAGAGGAGTATAAACAATTTTTTCAGAGAACTTGCAAATCAGAGGGAGCATACACCAGCCTCAGAAATTAAGCATGCAGCATAGGTTTTCATTTGCATAGGCTATGCAAAACAGGCTTATAATAAGGATAGATACACAGAGTCATTTCAACATATGTAAATTTCAGCAGACAAGTGCAGTGTAATTGACAAATGCTCTGGAAAGTAATGATCATCAAATTTTCCGTAAGATTTCACATATATTCTCAAAGAGACATGCTGATTAAACATACACATCTACTATTGGAGGCACGGGGTATTTTGTCACTGAACAGAGCAGGTGGAGCGATATAGATGATTAATATAGTATCAGCCATTCTCGGTGTTTTACACACACACAAAAGACAAGAGACCCCAAACCCAAGAGCACACCAGCTACAGTGCATGTATGCACACGGTGCCTGCTTGTGTGGGTATGTAAATAAGACTAGATAATACACGTGCAGAATCTGCACACATGTAAAAAGTTTTTTATTTTCCTAAGAAACCAGTGACCACTAGCAAATTCCGTAATGTCAAAGCAAAACACAGCCAAGAATGAGTTATACAGTCAGGCCTAACTGGAAAGCTTCCCCAACCCCTTTTTTCAGAAGTTAAGTTTTCCAGTCATCCTCATCGTGTGCACGGCTCAGCAGAAATGAACTCTGAGCAAGCCAGTCTGTCACATCTCCTCCTACCCCATAGGAGTTACAAATCTCCAAAGTTATGTTGTCAAGCAAAATGGAACCATGAATGCATTATTTTGGTTATTTCTAACATGGCAAAATAAGGACTTTAGTCAACATCCCAGCAGTACTTACGTATTGTAATTATACCACATAGCATTTCCCTGTTTTGTTTTTCCTTCTCTGTTCTCACATGCTTCCCTCTCAGCCAGAGATGTCACTCAGTGCTCATACAAATAGCTCACTCCTATGAGTAGTTCTAATGAGTTAAATTCTGTTCCCAGTCACATCTGTGCAATTCTGTAGTATTTCCATTGATTTCAACGTCGTTACACCAGATTTTCCACCACTGTTACTGAGAGCTGGTTTTGGGTCAACGAATCTTCGGCCTTGACATAAGTCTTTTACAAAACTTTCCCCACTATTGCTTAGGGACAAGTTCAGCCTCACAGGGGGGAGCCCATCTGGGGAAATGCTAGTGTAGACACAGCCATTTATACATTGCTCAAACATAATTCCATATTTGTATCTGTTAGCCATATTAAAGACTGTGTGGTGTTTGTTGAGGATGAACAATAAGTGACAAATGAAAACAGCAACTCTAACCACTGGCATTAATGCACAAAGTGGCACTTTTCATTGGCCAGTTGTCCATTGCAGTTTCTAGATCTGGATAGGAGTTATTGCAGGATGTTCCACTGTACAAGATAAAGTCTGAGTCTATCGTGCTGTTAGAGATGGAGAAGAGTAAAGTTTAGCAAGGCCTATGCAGAATTTATATCCCCAAAAGACAGAGGCACCAGGCTTCCTGAATTCCAACCAAAACATCACTGTTGCTACTGATTTTACATGTCAGCGTCACATACTATAGTGATGGGTAGCAGCATAAATCCCTAAGATAATAAAAATTCATATAACTTATCTATACCGCTGCCACTAGGGTGCCACTGAAGGCAAGAACATCTCTGTGGTATCTTATTCCTTGGTTTATTAGTTTAGCATCAACTTCTGCCTCACTCATTTACACTTTCAAGTAGCTCTCACGGATATCAGGGTACCTACCCAGAGAGTAAGATATTACTCAATGTGAGTAAAGCATGGCACAATCTGTCACTTAAAAAATTAAACAGCCATAGAAGCTCATGTAATATAATTGTATTGCTAAATTCACAACGTGTTGCATTTAATTATACATATTTATAGCTACATGTATTATTATATGGAAACAACTGCAATTTGTATTTAATATGATAAGGTGTATTAAGGTGCTTATTAAAGTTACATTTCACTTTAAGGTACATACTGTCTACCATACTGTGTGGGATGAGCGAGATTTTCAAGAACCTATTTAGACACAAGCTCTGTGGCTTTCAATTGGATCTATGCTCCTAAATCACATAGGATGTTTTTAAAAATCCCACTCCTATTTACACAGCCTAAGAGAACACCTTCATTTTTGGAGGCTATCCCTACCCCTATACAAGCAGTGGATGTTTCTATAGAGGTATAAGTTGTTAAGGCAGAAAGCAAACTAAGTTTTATGTACATCATTTTCTCACTGTTTTTACTATGACCTCTGCTTGTAACAGCAGGACACAGTGAGTTTTGAATCTTCCCATTAGAACACGCCTCATTATGTAGCTTTTTTGATCCACCATCTACAGCACCTTTACTTAACAGTGAAGTTGTATGGGGGGGGTTGCACTAGCAGTGTATCACTTGACTAGCACAGGGGATATTAGTAGCACGGAGGAGATGGAATAAACCCCCTTATCCTATCTGCTTCGTAGCTTTTCAACACAACTCGGGCACCGTGACATTCGATCTCAGGTCCCGGCCAGCTGCCCTGTCAACCTCGTCTGCATGCCCATGAAATGCGCTCGGGTGTGGAAGCCAGCCCCCGCCCCTCTCCCTCGCGTTAGCCAGGCAGCAGAAGGGTAGCCCCTCGGCAGTGCTGAGTCACTTACAACAGCCCCGCGTGGCACGGCTCAACACACAGCTCAATCTGCTCCCGCGGGGCTCTGCAAGCCACGTTGCTGTGGGTACAAGGAAAGCGCCTTCCTCGTCCCCTCGTATTGCAGCCTCCAGCCGATGGGAGATTTGCCTTTCCGCACGAGCAGGCGAAAGTGCAGCAACTTGCAGCTGCTTCGCAGGTGCTGTAACTTTAGCCAGGCAGGGGAAGGTGGCTTTCCATGAGAGGGGAAACAAGCGGGGGGGGGACCCACAGATCTGGGCCACACACTTCACCGCATCCAGCTGGTCTGTGGAGTGCGGCTCCCACCGCGGGGGGGGGGAGAAGAGGCAGCGGCGAAGTGCCCTGAATCTGCGGCCAGGGGCGCACGGCCGGGGCTAGGGCTGGGTCACGCTGGGGGCAGGGCACCGCTGCCCGGCTCGGCTCTCCGGTGAGAAGCCCGAATCGGGCCACCTGAGGAGCTCCTGGCCGGCTGATGCCTCCAGGCACCCTCCGCAAGGCTAGGCGCCCTCCAGCCCCTCTGCAGCCCTGGCTGAGCACACGGCGGGGGGACGCGGATCCTGCTGCCCCCGGGCCTGCCCTGACCCCCCTCCCCGCCGGCGCACACTCACCAGGTAGGCGCCCACGGTGCCCTGGGCCAGCATCAGGGCGCACTCGGACACCAGGAAGATCTTGATGTTGGAGAAGCAAGAAACCTTCTTTTTCCGCTTCTTGTTCCGCTGCGCCTCGTC